CACGCCAGCCCTGCCTGGCCTCCCCGCTCCTTCCCCACAGTGCAGTCCCAGCCAGCCTCTGTCCAGCCCCACCTAATTCCCCTACCATGTGGGTCCAAGGCCCGGCTTGCTTGGCCTAAAGCCTAGCTTCCTAAGGGCCCTGGGTGACCCTGGCATGGCTGGGGGCCCTCAGAATGCAGCTTCCCTTTACCTCCACTGAGTCCACACACTGGATGTCTGAGAGGAGCAGCAGCAGAGAGGGAGTGGGCTTTGGAGTCAGGCAGAGCTGGGTTCAGATCTCAGCTCAGCCACTTCCTAGCTGTAGACTTACTCTCTCTCACGGTGCTACTTCTAGTATTTCATCTTATTTGTCTTAGCCTGCCTTGGTTTCCTGGTCATCCTCCTAGGCTACCAGATTTCCAGGTGAGGCTCATCTCAACCTACTTGGCCAGAGTCTCAGTGCCTGCCTACCTGTCTTCCAGTGCTCACCCTTGGGTGACTGGGACCTGTCTCCTGATCCTCAGCCATTTCCTGGGTCCACCTGGGTGTCAGCCTCTCATTTCCCAACTCCTGGGGCCACCCCATCAGTGTCCAGCCCATGTCCTGCCTCATCTCCCTGGCCCACAGCCTCATTCTCCTTCCCCAAGTCTCCTACTGAGAGCCCAGAAGGCATCACAGCTGAGCCCACCTGGAACATAAGACTGCACTGCTGAGTAAGCTCCCCTTGCAGCTAAAATTGTTTTTTTGATAGTGAGGATTTCTTGCTAATGAACTGGCTAAATAATCTTCAGCTCACTTCTGAAGGAATACAACTGGTTATAGTCAAAGGCGCTTCGGATCACTGGGCCTAGCTTTTCTTCCTTTCCCACACCACAGTCCTATGTCCTTTGCATTCCTGCCATAATTTACACATTAAACTTTTTTTTTTTTCTTTTTTGAGAAAAGGTCTCACTCTGTCACCCAGGCTGGAGCGCAGCGGTATGATCTCAGCTCACTGCAACCTCCGCCTTCCAGGTTCAAGTGATAATTGTGCCTCCCGAGAAGCTGGGATTACAGGCACCTGCCACCACGCCCAGCTAATTTCTGTATTTTTAGTAGAGACGGAGGTTTCACCATGTTGACCAGGCTGGTCTCGAACTCCTGATCTCATGATCCGCCTGCCAAGGCCTCCCAGAGTGCTGAGATTACAGGCCTGAGCCATCGCGACCAGCCTAAACTTTTTTTTTTAATGCAAGAATATCAATGTCTTATTTTGCAGCACTCAGACAAGGTGCCCTCCCTCCCAGTGCTCTTTGGCTAAACTAGCAGTATTGATCAATTGCAGTATGGAGCAATTGCAGCACTGATCAGTGCCTGGCACTGCACTAGGCGCCTCAATATGTATACATGAGATCTAATCCTACAAGACAGGTAACAGCATTTTCATTGACTTATTTATTTGTTTTTTGTTGTTGTTGTTGTTGTTGCTGCTGTAGAGACAGGATCTTGCTCTGTTGCCCAGGCTGGTCTCTAACTCCTGGGCTCAAGCAGTCCTCCTGCCTCAGCCTCCGAAAGTACTGGGATTATGGGCATAAGCCATTGTATCTGACCCAGAATTTTCATTTTTAGACTTTGTAACTGGAGATTTTTTCCCATATTCCAAGACCCTAAAAAAAGAAGCAGAGTTAACTATACTCACTGCTAAGTCCTTGAAGGCAGGGGCAATATTGCCCTCATCCCTCAATTTTCCTGCCCTCTCTGTCCCCAGCTAGCACAGGAAGAGCATTAATGGAGGGGGACTCAGCAAATGCTTATGGGAACCTGCCTCTGTCTCATTTTGTTCAATGCTGTCATGTTCTATCCAGGATCACAGGTGACATTCTTTCGAACGCTAATCCTGAGTGATTCCAACCACTCCCTGGACTCCGGTTAAAGTATGCCCCGAAAGCAAATAACTCCCCACTCTCTATCTCTGGAGCATACCTCTCTTGGGTCTCCCACGTCATCCACCCCCCACCCAGTCACCAAATTGACATTTCCACATCTGAATACACCTTACAGTCCCTCAATCATCTCAGCATTTCTCACGTGAATTGCTGCAATAGCTTCCTAGGTGATCTGAGAGAATGCAGTACAGGGTCTCTGTGCTGGGCACTGCTCATACATTATTTTCCATTCTAATAAGCAACCCTGTGAGATAGGCATTAAAGGGTGATCCACATTAAACTGACATTTTTATAAGTCAAACCCAGCTACACACACACACACACACACACACACACACACTCCCCCCCACCATACACATTTGCAAGTGATTCAACCTAACACTACTATTATTACCCACCCACCCCCAAAACAGGCAAGGAAACTGAGATTTAAAGGGTAATTTATTTCCCCAAGGTTACACATTTTATACCCTGGGGAGCCAGGATCTGAACGTGGGTGTGTGTTCAAATTTCCAAAGGCCACGCTTTTTCTGCTAAATCATATCATCTTCAAGTCCATATATCAGCTCCTAGAGGAATGCTCACAGCCCTAAATACATTACTGAGAGTATTAATGTATCTCAATACTTTTATCAGAGGCATTTGAACTAGAGCAACTCCATCTTGAATAGGATCTGAGTAAAATGAGGCTAAAACCTACTAGGCTGCATTCCTAGAAGGTGAAGGCATTCTAAGTCACAGGATGAGATAGGAGGTCAACACAAGGTACAGGTCATAAAGACCTTGCTGATAAGACAGCTTGCAGTAAAGAAGCCAGCTGAAACCAACCACGACCAAGATGGCGACAAGAATGACCTCTGGTCGTCCTCACTGCTACACTCCCACCAGCGCCATGACAGTTTACAAATGTCATGGCAATATCAGGAAGTTACCCTACATGGTCTAAAAAGGGGAGGCATGAATAATCCACCCTTTGTTTATCATGTAATCAAGAAATAGCTGTACAATGGGCCACCAGCAGCCATCAGGGCTGCTGTGTCTATAGAGCAGCCATTCTTTTGTCTACTTTCGTAATAAACTTGCTTTCACTTTATTCTACGAACTTGCCCTGAATTCTTTCTTGCACAAGATCTAAGAACCCCCTCTTGGGGTCTGGATTGGGACCCCTTTCTGATAACACTTTAAAATGTTATTAATAACACACAATTATAACAACTACCATTTATGGAACCTATGATATGCCTTACAATAGTTATTTCACTTTATCTCCACAGCTAAGCTATGAGAAATCTAATACTGGGTGTTTTTTTTTTTTTTTTTTTTTTTTTTTTTTTTTTTTTTTTTTTTTTTTTTTTTTTTTTTTTTTTTTTTTTTTTTGAGACGGAGTTTCGCTCTTGTTACCCAGGCTGGAGCGCAATGGTGCGATCTCGGCTCACCACAACCTCCGCCTCCTGGGTTCAAGCAATTCTCCTGCCTCAGCCTCCCGAGTAGCTGGCATGACAGACTACCACCATGCCTGGCCAATTTTTGTATTTTTAGTAGAGATGGGGTTTCCCCATGTTGGCCAGGCTGGTCTTGAACTCCTGACCTCAGGTGATCTGCCTAAGCCTCCCAAAGTACTGGGATTACAGAGGTGAGCCACTGTACCCAGCTGCAACACTGTTTTTAATAATGTTACAAATAAGGATTGAGACTGAGTGAAGCCAGGTGATCTGCCAGTCACACAGGAGGTGGTGAGCCAAAAGGCAGGGGGTGGGAATCATGAAGAGCAAGAGCAGGCAGGACAGGGAAGCTGAGCCGACTTCAGGGGCCAAGCTCGCCAAGGTGGACACTCACCCTAAGTCCCAGCAACACAGCCTATGCTTGGGTCAGGTTCACAAGTGGAGGGTGGGCAAAGACAGCAGTGCAGAGCTGGTGCTTCTGGGCAACAGCGCTGACCTCTAAAGAGAACTGGCTGGAAGCCGACACACCAAGGGGATCATTTTAAACACACACCCAGCCACTCGGAGAGCCTGGCTGGGGCACTTGGCTGCCCTGACCCAGGAATGGACGCTCAGTCTGATCATTTACACCATGAGAGTGAGAACAGGATCTCCTGCAAGCCTCTGGATTTCAACTGCTGGTTTGAATTTCAAGGAGAAGCATGAAGGTGTTGACATGTAAGGAATTACTCGTACGTGCCTTTGATCACCCTGAAGCTCTGGGGTGCTCCAAATGAGCATGCTGGCTGGAAGCCAAGCTGCGCTGAGTTTTTACAAAGGAACTCCTACTGTGCCACCTTAGGCCAGCTACAGAAGCCACGTTTCCTTAAATCAACACTGCCTGTTTTCCCCCCTTTCATTTCAATGGCATCACGTGGCCACAGGACAACAAGACCTTCGGCTAAGCCCCCTTGCAGGAAATGTTAGCCTGGAACCCACTTCCTGACCTCTGGCCAGTCACTTCACTTGGGTGATCCGTCATTTGCAAGGAAACCTCCCTGCTTCCTTAATAAGTCAGAGAGGGGCACTGGAAGTCTCTTTGGGGAATCAGGTGCCCTGAATGCTCTCCCAAATTTACTTTCCCTTTGGAGATATTTCACTAGCCGTTACCACCACCACAACAGGCTTAGGACAGGGAGGGAAGTTTTGATGCCCTTTAATGTTCTGGACAACACCTGGGCCCCGAGTCTTTCATTAGGCCCCTGTAGCCATGGACACAGCTTTTTTTTTTTTTTTTTTTTTT